TTCCTGGCACAGATAATATTTAGGACTATCCCTGCAGGTCTTTCAAGGAGTCATTAGGTGTGACACCAGTGAATCGTGGCTGGGGGCCACCAGGTGAAATTAGAGTCATTTTTACCCTCCCCATGTTATTTGCATGACTGCTTAATCAGCCAGCCAGTTAATCATGGAGACATTTCCACGGAACCTTCCGTGGCGAGTAAAGTCAATCCTTTACACGTAGACAGCACACAGATGACAGAAGACCGAGGCAGGCAGTCATCTTAGCCTGATGTTAACTGTGTTTTATGGTGTTTGGAGAGTCATTAAATATTTTATTTAGCAGATGCTTTTGTTCAAAGCGACGTGCAAGGAAAGATCAGAGAGCAGTTCAGCCGGCATCCCTGGAACAGTCGGGGTTAAGGGTTCAGCTCATGACCTCACTTGGGATGTGATTATTCTGGCAACCACAAGATTTGAACTCAGGACTTTTCAGACCAGACCAAAGACTCCTGACCTCCTGAGCTGCGCAGTGCACAATCCATTAAATCCACGAGCTTCCATTATGCTATTAACATCTCCATTGATAATTCTTTTTCTTAAAGTATATAGGCTAAAATGTCACGTCTTTCCAAATACTGTGCTCAAATCCCTGTTGCTAGTGTTAGAAAGTCCTATAAACCTAAGCGATGCTTTCTCTCTTTATAATAGGCCACCTATTACAAGATTAGCTATTTAAATTCTGTTAATAGCCATTATTTCTAGTCACTATATTTTCTGTGATAGCCTTCAGTTTTAAATCTAAATTTAGTTTAAAATCCACTCTTGTTCTCAGGAGGCATCTGCAACAAGTTAGGGCCGTCGGCATGAGATAGCGAGTGAATACTGAAGTAGGTCACTGGAAATGCCCGGAAAGGAGGTCGCACTGTGGACACACTGCGTAAAAACCACAAAGGTGGGGAAGAGTCTGGCTGGGGGGGCGGGCCCTTCAGATCGAGCCAAGCGCTTCTTCAAGCTACTATTTTGTGATCTTTTAAGATACTATTCTGTGATGTTTTTAAACATAGAAATTTTGTGATGGTTCTATACTGCTAGCCACATGGTATCAGCTGGAAGCTGTAGATTCACAGGGATGTGGGACGTTGCCAGGCCACACATTCCAGCTTTCCAGAGGCATGTGAAGCCGGGCTTGGAAGGTGGAGGCTGCTTTGTGTCAGGGTGTGAGATCCTGGCGCGTCGGAAGCAAGTCGCGCCGGAAACCATCCATCACCTCGCACAGCCTCTCATCCTCCCGCTTCTCACAGTCTTATGGGTATCCAGCAAACTCCATGATGAAATGTAGCCGGCCTAACAGCAATGGAAACTGATAGAGGATGGTGCAAAGCTTGCTGAATTTTTAGGAGTGATGCAGTTTGATCCCCTGTGATCTTATTCCTGAATTTCTGAGCTGGAAGCTGCCTGTCTGGCTGTTTGTTCTTGCTTCTCCAAAGCTGAGGAGGAGAGCTGTGATTGACGTAGGGATAGCCGTCAGTGACTGTCACTGGCCATGGCAATGGGGGGGCGGGGGTAGAGCAGCTGAAGTGAATACGAAGCCCACCCGCAGCTGGCTTCATCGTTAAGTGGCTGCGTTTAGTGAGCTGGCCATGGTCTCCTGGGCAGACTAGTCACCAGCCAGATGGCCACCAGGATGGGTGCTGCCAATCGGAAAGAGTCTGGGGGGGGGGGGTATGACACAGGCACACTTGTTCCAGACACTTCCATTGTGGTGTAATTATGACTGGCTGTCAGTCACTTCCTGTTCGAGATTCAGACATCCAGCTTTTGTCCAACAGATGAGAGCCACACTTTTGATGGACGTGCTAATGGGGTATAATCTGATGAAGTGACTACTTTGATTGGCAAATATAAAAACCAGTCATCCAATCTGACGGTGACTTATCCCCCTCACTCTGTGCCAATGGATGGTGAAGAGTGTGTGCGTGGGGCGGGGGGGGGGGGGGGTTGGGGGGCTGGATCCCACTGAGTTGGAGGAGTTATTTTCACGGCATGAGGACATGTCTTCTCTGGAGGGTAAATGCGTGTATGACTCGTAAGCCTGGTTAAAACACCCGCAGAAATAGCAGGAAACCTGCAAAGGTGACAGGTTTAGACCGGCTGGTCTCAGACAGAGTTGTGGTGCAGCTCCGGGACAGAAGCCAGGTTGTGATTTGGCCAACACTGAGTAACTATAGCCAGGCGCTCAAAGAGATATGTCACCTGCCCCCACTGCCAAGTCCCCAAACCACCGATCCTTTGAAAAAGTGTCATTACTTTTTTTATTAAAATTGCACCTCGATATGCCTCTCTCATGTCTCCCTTGACACACTCAGTTCTCTGTCCCTATGTCTCTGCCTGACTCTCTATGCCTCGCTTTGCCTCAAAGGGCCTCTGTTCCTCGCATAGATAGAATTATGTTTTGGTAGTTTGTCCAACCTAAACCCCCTTCACCGAATGTGATTAAGTGGGTTTCCTAATGACTTTAGGAATCAGGGTGACGCTGACATATGGTAATATGGTATTTATCCATAAAAGACTGCGTTAGCGCATTCCACATGCGCCAAGTTAAACGCATAACGCCAACCGCCACATTAGCTTGAAGGGTCCCACTTTCCCTCAGTATTTCTGATGTTGCGAGGAAGTTGTGATCCAGCAGAGCCGCATTTCAGCCTACTGTAAACCAAAATAAAGTCGCAGTCACGCAACACTTTGCTTCTGTGCCGAATTAATTTACTGGTACTAGAGACCTGAAGGACCTTTCTGGTTTTTAAGTGCCTTCTTAATGCGTTGTTCCTTTGTCATGGACCATTTGCAATTAATCCCCCTGCATTTTGCACAGTTACATTAAACAATCCAATGAACTCATATTTAGTTCTGGCTCTAAAGGACACGGTAATGGATTTAAAATGCAGTGGACTCATTCAGTGTCAAGTCTAAAATACAATCCCAGCCAAATTTGTTTTGCAGATCTAATTTCCGCATCTTTTTCTTTTCCCCTCCGTCACTTATCTAAAATGTGCACAGCTGATAAATCTCGTGAAACGGATTCTTTCAGCATTTGATTTGCAAATGCACCCTTAATCAGATTGCAGGTGATTTATGCGACAGTTTAGCCAGAGAACGAGAAATCAGGCTGGGGTGAGCTTGAGACCGATCGAGGCGTCATTAGGCCAAATTAGAACGTGCCAGGAGAGGCGGGTGCCTGCTGTGGGTCGGCAGGCTGCCATGCACTGGATTCTTCCAATGGCTCGGCGTGCTAAAGTTGGCACAGTCTCCCCAGCAGTTACGAGACACTCCCTTCCCATAAGCATCTCATTCGGATAGGGCCCCCCCGATCTCTTCGAAAAATCTACCCCAATGAGGGCCTGAGGTTTGGGACTCTAAACAATGTTTAGATGATTCTGAGAGAGCTGTGCTTGGTGAAATGTAAATTCAGCAGTGTCAGTGCTGGAGTCGAGTTCAGGCAGTGCAGAGTAAGTGTTAATTCAGCAGTGTTGATTCTGGAGTAAGACATACTCAAGTGTGACATGCTCTGAATGCCCTATCTTCCATCTATCAGCAAGGGGCAATACGATCAATACCAGACCCCTGAACAGAGTATGTAGTTTACATGTCAGATTGCTGAACACGAGCTGGGGTCAGATTACTGAATATGGGTTCTCCGATTAAATATAGTAGAGGAACACAGAATTCTCCATTCTCAGCAAACAAGAAAGTCAATATCCCATCAATATTTTACTGATGAGTATATTCATAAGAATATTCTGCATTCCTTTGGTAAAACAAATTACACAGAGACCTGTTAGTAATTGTGTTTATTCAGATATGACTGTGCAGCCTGCTGTAAATTTAGATTGAATAGCATATTTTACCAACAGGGGTCTAGGTAACTGAACACCAGGAGATATACTGTGTAATAAGAGGAGATTGCTTCTGTGCAAAGTCTGCTCTCACAAACTTTCCATGGATTTCCATTGATTGTTAAAAAAACGAAATAATAATAAAAAATAAACATGCATCTAGGCAAAGTGCCTTTAGCATATGATGGCGTGCCGGTCCACTGTGATAAACCAGCATCGCATCCTAGGTTGCCCTATGTTTCCTGGAATAGGCTCCAGAATGTTTACAATCCTGCCATGGCTGAGTGGATATGGAGATAGACGGATGTCTTATCCTTAAAGACACTACGCCTTCTATCTGCTTGGTTTCCTTGATGGCAATTATCAGTCTACACTTTCAGGGAATTTTAATGTGATGGAAATCCAGAGAATGAATGCTGGATGATCAAATCAGTGAGTGGAATGGGCTTTCATTAGTTTAAAAACTTACTATTAAATCTTTATCTGGTAACCTTAACTTAACTATGGATTTTAAACCTACGTAGATAATTAATAATGAATCAATCTTAACTATATAATATGTAATATCATACAGGTTCTATGTATGGAAAGACACAGTTAGCTAACCCTTGCACACCTTGCAGTCAGTGATTATAATTAAACGTTACTGCTGTTGTACAGTGATTGGGCACAATTCATTAGTCAGCCCCTAATGATAGCCAACCAGTGACAATTGGCCTGTTTATACATAAATATATATTTACCTTGCCCATTAAAAACTCTCCTTCATTAGTGGAAGCTCACTTTTATGAGAAACCTTCACATCGTGCTTGTTCACAGTCAAGTTACGAACAGTAAAATATGAGTTGCTCTTGTTGAACGGAGATCCACAGCCTATATGGCATGTTATACTGTACGTCGAGTTTTAATCTAAAGCCCAATTTGCAGACTAAGTCGTGTTTTACTGCAAAGTAGATTGATATTTGACAGATATGTTCATTTCTGCACTAATTCCCATCAACATTTAATTGTCCAGCTAATGTTCATTTCATTTTTGGGATCGGGGGAAGTTCAAACGAATGATTGGGTTCTGCAGACTTAATCTACTTTTATATTTGCTCTCGTGTATCCTGTATAGCGAAATGGAGTCTGCCAAGTAAAGGAATTAAAAAGGCAGTGTTGTGCCAGGCATTTCTATATTAGGTTTTTAAAAGCCATTATTAATAACAATAGTGTTAATAATAAAACTGAAGGAAATGTATGCCTGGGGCCCTCGTGTAACAGGTTATTATGAATTCTTCAACTGATAAATCAACATACTCTTTTATTCTGTTCAGGGGAAGAAAAAATGAGGGCTACAAGAATAGAACAGATTAATGAATCTCAGGGATTAAACTCTATTTGTGATCTTTAATAAGACGTCAGTTTGCCGTTTCAGCCCGAAATCGGCGAATGAAGGAGGTGCTTTTATTTTACCCTCGACTAAGAGATGACGGAACGTCTAATGAGGTCAAAAGCATTGCTGATGCACAGCAGAGAATCAGCAAGGCCACTGACCAATTATCAGTGCGATTAAGCACGTCCATCTCTGCCAGACTTACCTGCTTTTAATTTGCATTTTTGTAGAAATGTTCAGGCCACCATTGCACAATTAAGCCTAGTTTATTTCCCAAGAACCATCTACCCCAGAATTACGCCCGTTCTCTACGGGGGGCTGTAGGGGAAGACGGTATCGTTTGTGGAGCCATCCACCAGTACAATGAATTTGTTGACTAGGTTCTAGAGACCATAGGAACATGAGAAGAAGAGCACCCTGTCGTGTCTCATTTGTGCCTGATTCATGCCAGAGTGCATATTGTTACTGGCTGGACTTATTCAGTGACCAACCACAAACCCACCCTCTTTAAATGCAATAGTCTTACTCAGTACTTCTAAGGAAGCGTCTTAACGTATCTTCACACCTCAGTGGTTCATAATTCCAGTCATCCAGTGAAAATTTCAAATATTTCTTCCATTATTAACCAGAGTAGGAAGAGATATCCTTCAAAGCAGGGCTGCGTCCTACAGAAAAAGCCAAAAGGACAAAGACCAGGCAGTGAATACACTTAAACCCAAAGAAAGAGTCCAACATTTTAACAATAAAAGTGATGAAGCATCTATGTTCTTCTTTTGGATTGCAGTCGCTCCAGTGGACACCATCACAATGGGGTAATGCGTTCAAGAACTTAATCTCTGAGATGGAACCAGTCCATATGATGAGTCAGAACCAGTCCATATGATGAGTCAGAACCAGTCCATGAATCACCAGGTTCTGGTAGAAGCCAGCTAACCTCAATTGCTTCGGTGAATCTGAAAGAAATTATTTGATCACGACTTCAAAATCTGGGTCTTTTCTAAAGAGTTACATAATGTTCCCAGACTGGACAAAAACGCTACACAATTTCACTAAAGAATCCTTCTTTGCGTCCTCAGGAATATAAAACTCATGCCCATCTGAATTGCTCTTACATTTAGCTTCTTATTTGTGTTAAACCCGAAAGCTGAACCTAAGCCTGCTCCAGGTTCAACCCTAACCCTCCCCTGTGACATACTTTCTGTTCATTTTAAAGCCAACACACAAATGGTACACATTACACATCGAATCACTGTAGGTGCCCCACCTGGAGCCTTAGTTTATCAATCCTGTAATAACTAAAGCTAGTACCACTCTAACTGTAAGCCTTTTTTTATTAACCCTAATGATTTATTTTTTAAAATCCAAACCTTAATTTGTGTGTGTTGCTGGTGCCCCACCCCTCTGGGAGTAGACTTTGAGCCTCCACCATGGCTCCATGAGTGCGGGGCTTGTATGCTCCTCATGGGGTTTCCTCTGGTTTTCCCCTGCAATCCAAAAACGTACTGAGGTTATCCGGAACTACTACATTGCCCACGAGCATGCGTGTGAGTGAGCCCTGCAATGGGCTATCCTGAATGGGATAAGCAGTTATATGAAATGGATGGATGGATTAAATCCAAAATGTATAGGACTGCATTTGTATATAACACTCGGCTCTTGGATGGACAGCATTGAAGCCTTGAATGGTGCGATTACAGCTTGGTCTGTCTCCCTTATTCAAGTCCCCCTTACAAAACAGATTAACGTGTAGGATTCTTCAATTTATTTCTCAATGTATAAAATTAAGATAAATAATCAAAGGATACATCAATAGAAGCAGTATCAGTGCTACAGAGGTAGAGAAGAGCTTGGAGTGGCCTTTGAACTGGCATGCCAAACTAACCCATTGAAGAGAGTTTACTTTCCCAATAAACACATCAATCACACAATTAAGATGTCAGGTAAAATGAAAACCAGGGCGCTCTCCTTCATTTGAGGACTGGGCTTGTGTATTTCTTCTCCAGCCACAATGGTGATTTGATTAAACCCGTCATGGGAGCACCATGCAAGCAGTCGAGTTATGGGTTCATCCAATTCCCCGAAAATCCCTGACTGATGGCTCCGGGGAGAGGGCTTGTGAAAGTGCCCCCCTCCTCGAGGGGATCCGGGGCAGGTATTCCACAGAGGATATGATGTCCCTTCTCCCTCAAAGTGCTTTAAAACCGTGTGGGTGTGAGCAGAGCAGGGCAACGGAAGCTGCATAATGACAGTGTTCAGCCTGTTTGGAAACTCATTTCAGGGTGCTGGAGCAAAACAGTGGGAATGCAGATTTTTAATTCCTGATTACAACTCCAAAAGAGGAGCCCCTGCTGTGATTAAATTGCCATTAGTGGAATGCAAACTAGGGGTGCTATGTTTCCCATTTAATTATGAACAAGGTCGGAGGTAGCCAAATGCCTGCACAAGCAGCAATAACCCATTTCCACTGATGAAAAGGCAGCGAACGGGACGAACTGCAGTAAACGGTGGGATTCGACTCCCCGGAGAAATATCAGGTCACGAAAACGGCTCGCATTTTTATTACAGCCTAATAATGTAGGAACGTGAAAACGGAACGAGAGCGTCTGTCAGGGTGAGTCATGGGAACGGAGCAGCCACACCGTAGCATGCTAAACACCCAGGTTTGGGGCTTTTGGAACAGTCAGACGCCAAACATCATGTCCATTAGCAAGCCGAGGCCTGCCTTCGGTCTCAAGTGTCATATGAATCCTGGCGTCCTTGGGGAAGTGTGGCTAAATGCATGGAGGCTGGGTGACGTGAGGTGTCACCCCCTGCGGTGCACCGGAGCTCTGGGCACGTCATACTCTGTGTGGGCTCACACCACAGCCGATGAGAGATCCCACCATGGATTCCCCGCCACAAGCTGAGCTCACTGCCGAATCAAAAAGGATTTGAAGGATGACAATAGAGAAACACACTTTATGATAATGTTAATAATTCATTCTTTATTAAGAGCCATAATTATAATAAAAAAATAATAATAATATTAAATTTTCTTAAACTACAGTAATTTGGTGAAAGTAAAGCTTCAGATAAAGGTGCAGTGGTGGATTAATGTTTAGAGAAACGCACTTGTAATTGAAAGATTGCAGGTTTGAATCTCTGACCAGCAAGGCAACACTGAGGTACCCAAAGGAAGGTCTCCCCCCCCCCCCCAAGCACTGCTCCCCGGGCACTGAATTAGCTGCCCCCTGCTATGTCACATTGTCGCATATGGGTTAAAGGCAGAGGACACATTTTGTTGTTGTGCACTGTGTGCTGTTGTGTGTCAACAATGACCACTGATCACTAAATTCTAGATTTCCCTTGACATAGATAACCATAGATTACAATGTTACCGTTGTTATTAATGTGTGCAGTGGGTGCAGTGTAGCTGTTTTTATCCTGTGTATAGTTACATGTGCTTAACATGTGCAGTTGCGTAGGTATGCACTCGTAGGCATGCTGCGTGCCCTGAGCTGTAGCTGGAGACGTTTTTGGATCCGAATTCCCTGGATAATGCTCTCACACTTCATCTGCGCTGTTGCTGCAGCAGAGTGTAAACACAGGAGCGTCTCCTCTGTCCCTGGAGACCGCGGAGACCCAAAGGAGGATGTGGACATGTGTGGGGGCGGAGCCACAGGTGGGCTACCACAGCGACAGCGAGGCTTTTTAATTGGTAATGACAGGTGGTGGTGGGGGGGGGGGGTGTGCTCCTTCCTCAACTAGGATGTCAGTGGTGAGTGGTCGCCACAGTAACACTGCATTAACTGCAAAAGGAACTAGGCTGCCCAGCTCAATTTAATTAAAGGTTTGCTATCGGCTAAAATCTAAACATAGGAAAACACAGTGCAAATAACAGCTCGAAGAGAGGCTGGAAAGAAGCAAGTGAACATCAATGAAGAGCAAAGATCTGATTTTCTCAAAATGCTATTTCTGGCTCAATACAAATGAGGTAAAAATAGCCCAACTCTGCTGCTGCAAGCTAATTCTCACAAAACGTTATGTAGCCCTCTGGCAGCCACCTTTATCTACAGCTAGGACCATCAGCCCAGCAGTACGGCACGTCACGCGTCCACGCGGCTCGATATCTTACCGAGGTGGAACAGCAATATGACCCGTAAGAGACCCGGCTCGGCTAACAAGCCATAGCTGACTTAAATGCCAATTTCAAACGTAATGTGCAATTCAAGCACAATCGCAGATATTTATCACGCCAGCCCCTAACTGCAGTGGAACAGAATGCGAAAGGCAAAAGTGTGATTTTAAGGGGGCAGAGAGCCATCTCTCTGACTCAGAGGCAGGAGGCTACTTAGGACTCTGAGGCTGGACATTATATATAAAGGCAGCCTCACTGCTGCACCTGTGGGCCACATAAAACAACCTACATTCACTGCTTACTGGCACGTGACTTTTGTCAAGAAGATACTGTCAATACACCCATAGAAACAGAAACAACAGATGCTGTTTTAATTACCAATACTGCCAGTCTATCATTAAAGCTATACTTTAATCAATTGGATTTTATTAACTGTATGCACTTTTTAGCTCCACACCTAGGATTGGCATTTTTAATACATTTGCATGACTGGTAGCATTTGTCAATCCTCATGACCAAACACTTATATACTGTACTGGCTTTAATTATAAAACAACTTACTAAAGGTAACTGTTCATGTAAATGATGTACAATGTCAATTGTAAGTTATCCAGCCTTATTTTGTCATTGATTTTAATGCTGATGGTGATTCCAAGGCCTGCCTTGGGATCTTCTGTGGCAGTTTGCATGACTTCAGAACGTGAACCTGCAGGGATTTATCACAAAAACATTGCCTGTCTTTCTTCATGCTCCACTCTACCTGAACTCTTCTACAGCCTGGAGTCCTTCACCCAACGCCTCACATCCTGCAAGGCTCCATGACCCCCACCTGGTCTTAGCTTTTCTGACTAGCTGGTTCATTTATCAGTCCCTCAAGCATGTCAGTCCAACACTCCTGCTCTCAAATCAGGGCCAAACAGTCCACTACTCCGGGGAACATCCAGGTGGTTCCTGCATCCATAGCTGAAATTCCATAAATCATTCGTATAAGACAGAATGGCTCAGAGGTGCCTAAGACACACCGTACAACAGGAGGACCGGCATAATTCTCCCCTCCCCCCCCCAAATACACTTTCCCAGTAAAACTTCCCTCAGTGTGAATGCTTGTCAATTGAATTCCACAGTGAGTTCGACGTGACCTCAGATGGTCATGAATTTTCAGTTACCTCAAAACTGATCAGCTTCTGGCAGATAGTGGATTGTGAAAATGCCGCGACCCCTTTCTGTGAGACCATTACCTTCAAAGTCCCATTATCTCCAAATAAAGAGGACAAAACCTGCAGCACACTTATCAGCCTTGACAGCTGGGTGACAAGCAGGAGGGTCTGATTGTATTGGTTTTATCAGCCACTGGGATCCATTCTGGGAGAGGTCTGGCTTACCAAAGAGCTCTCCTTTTGTTCAGCGGTAACAGCCTGTCAACAGGAACGAGGATTTCCTCTCAGCTGTGAAAGAGTCCATTGAAAAACCTAGAGGAGCCTTCTAATGGAGAGTTTGCTAGACAAAGATGTTGCACTGTTGTCACTCAGCCCCCAAGCCTCATATTATTTGTTACATGCTGTGAGATTGGTGCTTGTTCAGGTTGGGTAAAGTCAGGTGACGAAATCATCCAATTGGTTCACCGGTTTCTGTTGGCAGTCATCATATTGGACTGAATTTTGTTTTCTCTCCTGCCTCTTAAACACACTTCCAAAGCCCTTATTCCCCAACCAAGCTGGATATGTAGCTCTTGCGTGATCTGACAGTGGTTTTAGTTTTTCCGTTGAGTCATCCGTCAGCTTGTGTCCTATCGAGTAACTTATGTCACATAAGAGCCCTACTCAAATTATCGAGAGATGTCCAAAGTAGATGTAGTTGACGTGTAATGGATAGCATATGAGTGTGGCATGCAGCAAGAATCAAAACAATCCAATTACGCTGCTGCAATGGAAGAAATCTCTGATATATTGTATGTCTTGTTCACACCCCTATAATGATGGAGATACATCCAGATTGTCTTCTTTCCAAACTTCCAGGATGAACCCCGGGTGTATAGTGATGGATACCTGCATTTTGTTTAGCTTCTATTGATGCTGAAACTTTCCTTTCCTCATTCCCCCATGAAAATCCTGCTCCCCTCTTCTGTCCCTATGTGACTGGCCACAGTTTGTCATCCTCACATTGAGAATTCCACATTATTAAAATGGATTTATTGAAACTGCACACAGCATTATCACAGAACCCTATGTATGGGCAGCCTCTAAAAGTGTATTAAGTAACTTCGGTTTTTCAAATCCTAGCCAAAAATTCTATCTATTGGTAGCACACAGAAAGCATATAACAATAGGGGCCAAGTGAACCTCGATCGTAAGAGTGATTTAAAACAAA